TGTTAGAAACCCAAAATAATGATAAAAAAACCAACACTATAATGGGAGATTATAATATATCTCCTTCAGAACTTGAATGATGAAATAGACAAAAAATAAGCTAGAGAATAGATGATTTGAATAATAAAACCAACAAGCTTAATGTATAACCACATATATGTCCATACACATTTTAAGATGTAAATCATTTTCTAATTTCCATCAATAGTGTACTTATTTGTAGAGGAAATCTTCATAAATTTAAAGAAGCAGAGATTTTTAGAGGCTATATTTTCTCATTATAATCCAGTAAAATTAGAAATAAATAATCAAAGATGGTCAAAATATCCTTACTATTTAGAAGCTGAGGGACATTCTCCTAAATACTCCTAGATCAAAGAGAAAATTAGGACAGAAATTATAATTTTTTTAGGAAGTAACAAAAAGATGAATACTTTATACCAAAACCTGTGGTATTGCCTAAGGCTCTGTTTAGAAGAAAATGCATAGCTTTAAATCAGGAGTATCAAATGTGTTCAGGGCCTATGTAAAAAATGTAGATTTAGGAAGTGGCTAGATGTAAAAATAGGGAGAGGCAGGGACTGTGGAGAATTAGAGAATATGTGACTACCCTAAAAGTATTCAAGTCCATCAATTTGTAATACTTCATTGTAAATGCTTTTATTATTAAAAAAGAAAAAAGTGGAAAATATGCAAAATAAGTAATACATTAAAAACACAGTAGCTACAAAGCCACAAAATTATCCAAAAGAAAATATAAAGAGGAATTAATGAAAGATAAAGCTCAAATGAGTGAAATAGAAACTTGTCACAGGTAGGTTCTCTGGGACACATATGCTGAGGAGTTAAGGTTACAAAATGTTTGTAGAGGAGTAATGCCTGTGAAAAAAGGGGGTAGGGGGTATTGTGCGACTGTAATGCAGACTTGGCAAAGTCTCTGCCAGCCCATTGGGGAGCTCTGGAGCAAAGATTGTCCATCAGATCAGTCCTGCATTGAACAGAAAAGGCTACATCCCAGTACCTCCCTTTGCTCTTCTGTCATTAGACACAGGCATCCTAAGGGGATGACCTCAGCTCAAAACGTGAGGTGGACCCTAGAGGTACTAATTTACAGCAGATGGCACTAACAGCTAACCACATTCCTTGCAGCTAGACAGATCTTTCCTGAAATTGGATCTGGGTGGCATCACCCTGTTTCTGCCATAAAAACAAACAAAAATGTTTATAGCCAAAAACCAAAAGCTGGCTTTTAAAAAAAAAGTAAATTCAATCCATTAAAGCTTCCACCTTTTTTGTCTGTATGCAATTTGCAAAATTGTTCTTCATGTGGAATATATGTGCACAAATTTGCAAAGAGTGGACATTCAGGATCTGTTAAAATGATAATATAGCAGGCAAAACAAGTTGCATTCAAAGAACTGTCTGCCCTGGTAGGGCCTTTATTTATTTATTTTAATTTTTTTTTTTTTTTTTTTGAGACAGAGTCTCACTCTGTTGCCTGGGCTAGAGTGCCGTGGTGTCAGCCTAGCTCTCAGCAACCTCAAATTCCTGGGCTCAAGCAATCCTCCTGCCTCAGCCTCTTGAGTAGCTGGGACTACAGGCATGCGCCACAATGCCCGGCTATTTTTTTCTATATATTTTTAGTTGGCTAATTAATTTCTTTCTATTTTTAGTAGAGACGGGGTCTCGCTCAGGCTGGTCTCGAATACCTGAGCTCAAACGATCCGCCTGCCTCAGCTTCCCAGAGTGCTAGGATTACAGGTGTGAGCCACCATGCTGGGCCCCGATGGGGCCTTTAAGTCAAGGTATTTTGATGCCAGCCTTTCTTCCACTGCCCTAGTCAAGGAAGAGTTTTGTAATAACTTAAAATTTTAAAAGGGCTACTCCTACAAACAAGAACATTCTATTAGTTTGAGGTTTCAGTGTCCCCCAAGATCAGGAACAAAACCTGACAGAGTATGAGGACATGCAGTGGCATCTCTGAAGATCCAGAGCTTCAGTGGACTGAGAATGCTCCAGCTACCCAACTCACTGGGCTTCCCTGCCAGTTTCTACACTGGCTTGACTGGACATAATTTAAACAGGAAAAGCTCATAGTTATTCTAATATTCTGGAGCTCTGTGACAGCATTCAATAATACCTGATGGGATATATTCTACACATTGTATTATGGTATTTCTCCAAATAATTGCTAAAATATATGTGGTCCAATTGTTCTGTGGTACTGCTATATATTTTATCTAGATTAGATTGTAGACAGTCAATAGATTTATAAATCTTTCTTGGAGATTCAGCAGATTAACTCTTTAGAATCTTTAACTTTAATGGCAGAAACAGAAGAAATTGCACTGTCCAAAATGGTGGCCACTACTAAGCACCTGAAATATGGCCAATCCTATTGGAAATGTGCTGGAAGTGTAAATACACACAAGATTTCAAAGATTTAGAATAATAAGAAAGTAAAATATCTTATATTTTTCATATTGATTAATTATGATACATTTTGGATATACTAGATTAAGTATATTATTAAGATTTATTTTACCTGTTTAACTGCTTTTAATGTGGCTATTAGAGCATTTAAAATTACACTCATATGTTACAGTGAGCTATCTATGATGGAGCCACTGAACTACAGCCTGGATGACAGAGCCAGACTCTCTAAAAAATAATAAATAAAATAAAATGACACTCATAGCTCACATTTGTGGCTTGTGTCATATTTCTATTAGTGCTACACTAGATATTTACTATATAGTGTTTCCTGAATTCCTGTTCCTTTGACTCATTCAGAGTTCCAACCAGTTCAGGAATAATGATAAACCCCTGCTTATGGCTCTCCACAGCTTTAAAAGTATAAGGCCAATGTATGTCATACTGTGTTTATTTTCAGTTCTCCATAAATATTTTGATCAATAGGGAGGTCATACAGAGGTGTCCTGTGTCTAGCCACATTGGAAAGTGCATATTGTCAGGGGGCACATGATGGGAAGGCCATAAGCACTAGCAACAAAAAGACCTACAATAAGTATATCCTGCACTGGGTTCGATAATGGCTGTAGCATTTTGTTAACTGACCCTGTGAAAGTCATCCTTCTAGCTGTGCTTTCAGCAGAGGTCCTAAAGCTGAGTACCACTGTGTACCGCCTGATCACTCGGTTGGGCATCTGGTGCAGGAGAATGAACCAAGAGGCGGTGGCGGAAGGAGCGGCTACAGGAGGGACCAGGCACGGGAGGGGGAGAAGGAGGAGGCGGCGACAAAGGAGGATGAGATGGCATCCGGGGCAGCGACGCCAGAAAATGGGGCCGGTAGCTGCTTGCCTGAAGGCCGGAAAATCCTGGTTCCGGCCCCTGGAGTTCTCCTTGGCCGGGCTGAATCCACTGAGCGCCGACCCCCAGCCCCGCCCCGCCGCCCCTTTCCATGGGCCGGGAGCGACCCGGTCTCCGGAACTCTGCGGCCGCCCAGCTCTCGACCACAGGCTAGTCACTCCCACCCTCCTGCGCCCCCCAAAACCGATTTTTTTTGAAGGATCAGTGAAATAGATGAACTCCCGGCTAGCCTAAGGTAGTAAGAAAGAAAAGGAAAAAGAGAGGGGAAAAGAGGCAAAAATATTAGTAATGAGAAAGTAGATAAAAACACAGATAGATGATATTTAAAGACTATTAGGAGACTATTGTATGTTACAAAAGTGAATATGTAGAAGGAATGACTGATTTCCTAGCAAACTGTAAACTGCCAAAATTGACCCAAGAAGTAGAAAACCTGGAGAGCAGTCTTCATAGACGATAATGGAAAGTCCAGTAAGGTTTGCAGCTATGTTCTAGCTAGCCTTTAAAGAACAAATAATTTTAATGTTATTTGTCCATTCTAGATCAGTGTTTTTCAAAATATCTGTAATGAAGGACAAGTTTTTTTTTTAACTTACAATTATTGTGGACATATACTTTTGTAAATTTCAAAAAAAAATGACTAGAAAAATTGAATAATAAGCAGCTATAAAGTGTAAGCCCAATTTTTAAATTTTTAGAATCATCAGAATAAAACTAAATTTCATTAAATATAATCAAAACAAATTTAACATAGGGACAAAGAAGATAATTACAAAAACTGAATATATTATTCATTGCTGAGTCCACTGATCACTGCTTGTATGTCATAACAATGTCAAATTATATAAAGGTTTCTAAACCCTCTCAATTTCTGTATTTATCTCATCACAGATGGTAACAAACAGTTTAGGCTGGCACCAGTCCTAAGACCACAGAAAAAGATGAAAAGATTCCAAATTTATTTTGTAAAGCTAGAATAGCCTTAAATATGGTAATATATTAAAATATGATAATATTTGTGCAAAAGATACATGTACAAATTCTAAATAAAATATTAATAAACTGAATTTAGCAGTGTGGCAAAGAATAGCACGCCATGACCAAATAGAGTTTATTTCAGAAATGCAAAAATAATTCAACATTAAGAAGTCTATTAACATAGCTATGCAGAGTGACATAATGAGCACTAGGGACTCAGAAAGGGGAGGGTGGGAGGAGGGTGAGGGATGAAAAATTACCTATGGGGTACAATGTACAATATTTGGGTGGCAGGTATGCCAAAAGCCCATGCTTCACAACTGTACAATTTGTCCATGTAACAAAAACCACCTGGACCCCCTAAATCTATTGGAAAATAAAATAAATTTTAAAAACAAAAAACAAAACAAACAAACGAAAAAACCCCACATAACTGGGCAAAGCGGTCCATGTCTGTAATCCCAGATATTCTAGAGGCTAAGATGGGAGGATTGCTTGAGCCCAGGAGTTCAAGGCTGTAGCTTCCTATGATGACTCATGTGAATGGCTAGCCTGGGAAATATAGCAAGACCCCCATCCCTACAAAAAAAAAAAAAATTAGGCAAAAGTGGAGGCTCAGGCCTGTACTCCTAGCTACTTGGGAGGTTGAGGTAGGAGGATCACTTGAGCCCAGGAGTTTGACACTGCCGTGAGCTATGACAGTGCCACTACACTCTAGTCTAGGTGACAGAGTAAGACTTTGTCTCTAAAACAAAGCAAAACAGGTTCCACATGGGTTCAATATGCATATCGAGAAGTGTTATTTCTGTTCAGGGCCAATCTACCCTGGCCATGGCATGATGTTCGTCCGCAACGATTGTAAAGTGTTCAGATTTTGTAAATCCAAATGTAATAAAAACTTTAAAAAGAAGCGCAATCCTTGCAAGGTCAGGTGGACTAAAGCCTTCCGGAAAGCAGCCGGTAAAGAGCTTACAGTGGATAATTCATTTGAATTTGAAAAACATAGAAATGAACCTGTCAAATACCAGAGAGAGCTATGGAGTAAAACTCTTGATGCAATGAAGAGAGTTAAAGAGATCAAACAGAAACGCCAAGCCAAATTTATAATGAACAGATTGAAGAAAAATAAAGAACTACAGAAAGTTCAGGACATCAAAGAAGTCAAACAAAACATCCATCTTATTCGAGCGCCTCTTGCAGGTAAAGGAAAGCAGCTGAAAGAGAAAATGGTACAGCAATTACAAGAGGATGTGGACATGGAAGATGTTTCTTAAAGATCTCACTGTAACCATTTCTATATGTACATTTGAAAGTGTCCTTTGGAGACTAGAACTTCTAAGTTATTAGTTTATTTTTTATGGAAGGTCACTCAAATGAAAGAAAGGTGATTAAAAATGTATTTCCTAAGTTGCTGTCTGCAAAACATCAGATAGTATGGATGTTAGATTGCATTTCAATGTTAAGCCTTCACTGATAGATGTGCTTATGTAAATTATGAAAATTCTGCTTGTAAATACAGAAATGAATTGTGGACAAAAAACCTAGCAAAACAAAACAAAACGAAACAAGAAAATAAAAACAAATAAAAAATTGTCCTACTTTTTATTATATTAATAGAAAACCTAGACTAGGCGTGGTGACTCACGCCTGTAATCCTAGCACTCTGGGAGGCCGAGGTGGGCGGATCACTTGAGGTCAGGAGTTCGAAACCAGCCTGAGTGAGACTCCGTCTCTACTAAAAAAATAGAAAGAAATTAATTGACCAACTAAAAATACATATACAAAAAATTAGCTGATGACGCATGCCTGTAGTCCAGCTACTCGGGAGACTGAGGCAGGAGATCACTTGAGCCGAGAACTGAGTTG